GATTCTTCTCACCCTAGGGTCTAATCTCGCCAAAAAAATCCCACAACCCTGCCCATGCTGGGGACTACCAGATGGGAATTTCCCAAATTCCCTTTTATCTTGCACCAATGAGCCCCCCGGGGAAATCACCCAGATTTTATAAGTCACTTAAAAAAAAACTCAGGGAAACGTCTAATGTCCCACCATTACTGTACAAGCGAGCGGCCCACATCCTTTCGCATGCTATTTTATTCTTTTTAAAAAGTCACTAGAAACTAGCCCCTTTCCCCAAAAACTACTCAAGATGGCAAGAGTTACCCAATACATAAAGGTGGTGACCCTACAGACTTAAAACAACTATAGGCCAATATCAAACTTACCATTGCTATCCAAAATCTTTGGGGAAACTCGAGCACAGGAAACTATATTTTATTTATAACAGCAACAAAACATACTCAACCCCTGCCAATTTGGATTCAGGAAAATAAAAGCACTAACGATGCAATCATAAAAATGCTAGATCTGCTTTACAAAAGTATTGGAAAAAAAAGGAATATCCACTAGAATTTTTTATTTGACCTAAGAAAAGCTTTGACACAGTAGACCACGACATCCTACTCCCAAAACTTGACCATTACGGTATAAGAGGCCATGGGGCTTGCTTATTTCAAATCTTTCCTTACTTAATAGGTATCAGTATGTCACCATTAAAGAAACAGCATCAACAACATGGCCACTTGATACTGGAGTTCGGCAGGGAAGTGTCCTTGGTCCCTGCTCTTCTCATATACATCAATGATTTTCCCAAACATATCCCAACACCTGAAACCCATTCTCTTTGCTGAGGGACACGACTTATTGTCATCTCTCACCCTAATCTTGCCACCCTAAACACCATTGTTAACAAGGAGCTGATTCAAAATATCGACTTGGATGACAGCCAATAACTTACGCTAACACTGACAAAACCTACTATAATATGTTGGTGCAGAGCAGGAGATGCACAAATTAACATTAAGATCGACAACACTCTAATTACCAGACAAAATGAGGGCAAATTCCTAGGCCTATACCTTGACAACAACCTGAATTTCAGCACCCATATCCAACACATAACCAAAAAAGTATCCAAAACGGTTGGGATCCTCTCCAAGATACGATACTACGTGCCGCAAAATGCCCTTCTCACACTGTACCACTCACTTATTTATCCATACCTCACCTATGCTATTTGTGCTTGGGGATCAACTGCAGCAACACACCTAAAGCCAATAATAACCCAACAAAAAGCTGCAGTAAGAATAATCACTAAATCCCATCCCTGGCAACACCCCCCCCCCACTCTTCATAGATCTAAACTTACTCCCTGTTCAGTACATCCACACTTACTACTGTGCAATCTACATCTACAGAACCTTAAACTCCAATATCAACCTTGACCTAAAACGCTTTCTTGATAGTTGTGGACAGAACCCACAGGCATAACACCAGACACAAACATCTCTACGACATTCCCCGTGTCCTGACTAAACCTTTACAAAAATTCAATGTATGTCAAAGGCCCTAAAATCTGGAACACCCTACCTGAGAACTCTAGAACTGCAGACACATTCATTACCTTCAAAACTACCATTAGAAAACATCTTATCTCCCTGATACACCCCATCAACTAACTACACGAATACCACCTGGTGGTTCACACTTACACTCACTCACCCATTTGACCATAAACAGAAATATTAATCTCAATCTTAAAATAATGAATCCTATGACACTCCAATACTGAAACTATGTACTGTGCCAAAACAAAAGCATTCACATTGCTAAACTCACAAACTAGTATTTAGTCACTTAGCCATAATACCAACTTACCTCATAATTTGTAATATTTTAAAATAAAGAATTAAACTAAGTCTGCCCGAAATGCCTAGCCATGCTAGGCGTTCTAGTGGTACACTCTGTAATCATTATTTAACTACATGTAAACCACACAACAACCAAATTCTGTAAATTCAACATTGTAATCTTTATAGAGAATAAACTTTTAAATCATGATTCAAAAAAACCCTCTCATAACAATGACTTAGAATGTAGACGACACAAACCTCCATTACTCAAAGGTTTAAATTTGCTCGATATAGAAAGCGTCCGCACATTACTGCACAAGGTGCTTAGTATAGCTATAAGCATTTACCTTCATTCAGGTATTTAATGTCGCCATTATCTTTCTATCCTTAATTCACCATTATCTTTATCCTTAATAATGACTACAACTGATAAAAAAAACACATTACTTTCTTTGCTACCTCTGCATATGAAAAATATCAGAAATATCACTGTACAAGCCCCTTGAAAGGGAGTTTTGTTGCAGACACTATCTTAACAAACACCAATATGCTACAATTGGGATCACCCTCTCTTGTAACTAATTGTCCTTCCTTCACCATTTCCACCATCACTTCATATCTGTCATGTGGCACTGAATGATCCTTAAGGGTTTAATGATTTTGGTAAATATAATGAATGTAAATAATCATAATAGACAAGGGATTACACTCGAAGGAGCAGCTGAACATTTAAGGAATTTAGGAAATGGTATTGTGGTACCGACAAGATGTGGAAAAGGACAGTTATGTACAGTTCAGGACATTGATTAAAGGAAACGTTTCGCCTCGAGTGGCTTCTTCAGTCCTAGGACTGAAGCTACTCGTGGCGAAACGTTTCCTTTAATAAATGTCCTGAACTGTACATAACTGTCTTTTCCACATTTAAAGACCTGATAAACCCTCCTCATAGTACAATTTTTGCAAGTTCTCCAAATCCTCCGTGAAAGGTTCAACTGCTTGTCGTGGAATGGGCGTTTTGATTGTGCCGGACTCGAGGGATGAAATAACAGTGGAGATATCACTGTCTCTGAGGCTGTAAGCTGCAAGATGCAAGCCATGGGGAAAGACTTTAGAATCACGACGCTCTACTGACGAGTGTTGGTTATAACGCCTGTTGGGTATCAGGAAATAGGGACAAGCACGACACTGACAAGCATTACCCAACAGACCTACAGCAGGACGGTATCTCTTGTAGACCTCTTCAAAGGTTGTATCAGTCACTTCCACTCCTTGTTCTGTGGCTTCTGATAGTATAAGTTGCCTCGTCATTGGTTGTACCACTTCTCTGTGGGCATCGTCATATGCTTTTTTAAAAAAAAAAAAACCATCCCCCTTTCTAGTTGTTTTACTATTTCCGAAAAATTTTCCCTTGGCTATAATGCGATAATTTCCTGCGGGCACCTTTTTTTGGTTACAAAATTTTAAAAAACCTGGCCTCCTTTATTTTGGGCCCTTTGGGTGAAAGTCAGTCGGTCCCGAAAAGGGATTGTACGCAGTGCATGAGCAGTAACAAAAAACCACACTTCGTTAAACTGAAAAAGTCATAATAACCTCCTCTTTTTTGGGGCCAAACCCTTTCCATGGAAAAACGCCTTCAGAGTGAACCACGAGGGGGTCCCCCCATTAATGACAGGCTAGCACCCTTTCAACCTCTTTCATTTTTCCCATACTATGGGAATCAGGGGCTGCAATTTTCCCTTTCCCAGCTTTTTTTTTTTCAAATCACTGCGTTTTTCTGGCCTGTTTTGTGTACCTGTTCAAAGGGTGTAAAATTCCCCCAAAAGGAATTTTTCGCCCCTTTGCTTTTTTTTTCTTGGCTTCGGCAAGGGTAATTCCGAACCCTTTTCTTTTTTTGAGCTCTTGATCGGGAAAGTTTTTTCTTGAAAAGAAATTGGGGAAGGGTTAAAGGGTTTTGGTCATTCGTCTTAAAGGGGAGAGAGGCAGCGACCGATGTCTCCAGTAGTTTCACCCCCTAAAAAATTTTGGGAAACAACACCAGCATCAGCAAGGTTCCCCCGCCCCCGCTGATATATGTATAGTAAAAACAGGGGTTTAATGAGAGTCTAAATTTTTCAATGTTTTTTTATCGACCTGTATAAAAGCTTTCCGTCATAAGTTTTCCTGACAGCATCCCCTCTTTAAACACCTGCCAGTACTTTGTGTAGCTTGGGGCCGACTAAGGTACCAAAACTTTCTGTTCTTCTATCTTTCAATACGATGATGTACGTACTGGGGGCCCGGGTGTGGTTGGGTACCAAAACAATACCCTTTCCCCCCTGGGTTCCCCCAAAACTGGGCCTTTTTGAATTTTTAAAATCCCATAATAGTTTGGGTTTTTTTTAAAAGGGGAAAAGTCACACACATTGCATAAAGGGCCTTTTTTATTAACAAATTTTGGGTTTCCCTTTAAAATTTTGAGCGTGGGCGAGAAAAACTGGGTTTAAATTTCATTAACAGGGGGGGGGTCTCGCTGTATTAGGGGGGTTCCACTTGCACTTCTGGGTTTTTGTTGATGGGTTTTTTTTTCCCGCTATGGAAATCAAGTGGCCCCCCTGGCCTTAAAATTTGGGGTATGGGGGTTCCCTTAGCAGTGAGCGAACACTAATGACCCCGGGATTGTGCTGACAGAGTCCCCGTGGGAGCCCTGCACCTTTGGGGTGCCAGAAAAAGGTGAAAAACCTTGGGAACTCAAATTTGTTAAGATTTATCATCTTTTAAATTTTGGGTCCGGAGGTCAATTTCAGTTTGGGTGATAAAAAATTCTACAAAAAATCTTCTGCAGTTAAAAAAAAATTTTCAAACTTCAGAACATTTGGTTTTTTATTTTTTTATAAATCTTCATAAAAAATTTGGGAGTCCTTTGTGTAATTCCCCATCTGTGTGAAACCCTTTATCGTAAAACCCTTTTGTTTCATATTTTCCCCCCTCCCCAAAAAAATTGTTTCCCCAGAAAGTTTTTTTGCCCCGCTTTCCCGCTCACTATTGAATTTAGAATTTTTTATTATTTTTCTCTTAAATTTTTTGAACAATGGGCCCGAAGTCTGTTTCATACACTTTAAAAATCTTTTCCCTGTAAAAACGTTTTGATTGGGGGGCCTGGGGTTGAAGTCTCTGGAGTATGTCGGTTTTTTGTTTCTAGGGCCCCGCTCCATGAAGGGTTTGCACATTCGAGGGGACACGCTCTTTCTTGTTGTGAATTTGGATGATAACAGAGTTCCACTGTCGATATACTTTGTTCAGAATGGACAAGTTCATTTCCCGAGGTTCCAGTGAGATATGGCAAATGTTTCTGCCAAGTCTGAGTGTGAGTCGTTGCAATGTTTCTGGGCCATACGGGTAATACACCCACTCCTTCAGGTGCAAAATGTCCCTTTTTACCCCTCCTGGCAGAGAAAACCCAGGCACTGATAGTTGTATGCATCTAGAAGACCCTCCAGATAATATATCAGCAATCTGTCTTATTTGTTCCTGTACGTTATCTTCAGTTTTGGCCCAGAAAAGAGAGGGAAGGTTTGCTCTTCCATTATGCAAACGTGATCGAATGCTGATGCTGTATTGCACAGGAAAGTCACTGCCTGCTCCTAGCACAAAAACATCACATGTTTTACCCTTTGCAGCAGTCATTTGGCAAATAACTTTGGTTGGTTTAACATCTGTGGAATTATGATGTCCGTCAGTGATGAGAAACACCTTGACATACCTCTCTTTGCACTTGTAAACCTCGTCTACAACAGTCTGCAGAGCGCCAGTTAGGTCGGTGGTACTGCGATCCAAGTCGCTGTATTCTAACTTCGTCCCTGACCTCTTCAGTTCAACTTTGGTGCCAAAGGTAAACAGATTAGTACGTCCGACCAAATAAGGGGTAATGTACTCGTTCCAGCTATCCACTAAACGTCTCCAGTAATGGTTCATGGAACCTGACACGTCTGCCATGAGTATATTGTAGGTGCTAGACGCGTAGGAGTTTTTGTTTGTACTTTCTAACACATCTGGCATTGTAGATGGCATCTGTAGCACTGAATGAATCTTCTCTTCATCATTGTTCTGAAAAGAAAGAAACACTAATGAGAAAACAATAATTGTGAGTATATGCATTGCACTGCTGCTTGATACTCAAACATTTTTCACTAGCACAGGTACTGTATATTATTATTACTCACAAAATCGTAATAACACGATTGCAAACAAACCAGGGAACAGGTTGAGTTTGAACCCATGGCGAGTGAGTGGTAAAACTCAGGCCAGTGCATAAGCCACTGGGCCACCTGACTACAATAAGATTATCCAACTGGGTATATTTATACACCATAGGGTATGTGATAAACTCAAGGCATCATCGCTGTATGGACCTTACTGGGTCATACTATGATTATTATTATATAGTACCTGGAGAATCGAAGGTAATCAGGTTTGATCCAGGGAAGGGGAGGATAATTCCAATTCCTTGAATCAAGAGACCTTCACTAGATATTACAGAACATCGTGGCAGCTGACTGACCTTCTCTCTGAGGATGTAAAGCAGAGCATCAGTGATCACTTGTCCGTGGTCCTCAATACCCAGGTGTTCGTCCTTGTCTTCCTCAGGTGTTACCATCACTGGTGGCGACCACCGCAACTGCTTCATCGTTTCTTCGTCCAGCACCTCACCCGGTCTGTAATGCTTACCCCACATTCTGTGCCCACCGAAGGGGTCATGATATCGATCCATCATCATCATCATGGAGTACCGAAGACTTTCCCGGTCACTGTATTCTCGACGAGCCTGAAGCTTCTCCATCAACTTCCTGCGTTGCTTCTCGGCGTCAGCGTATCCCGAAGGACCAGCATCGTCTCCTTCACCTACCTCCACCACACTGTCCACCTCCATCTTTGATGGTTTTTTTTTCGTCTTACCAGATTTCTTCATTGTAGTTCCTTTTCTGAAAAAAAAGTTAAATGGAATAACTAAAATAAAAGAAATGGACTCTTTGTAATGAGTAAATACAGAGCTGTATATATCTTAAAGAATTTTGATTAATTTTTGTTAGTGGGTTTGAGAAGAGAACCTGTCAGTAGGCCTGCTGCAGTGTTCCTACTTTCTTTTGTTCTTATGTAGTGTTAAAACCCATAATAAATATATATATATATTATATATATATATATATATATATATATATATATATAATTTAAATATATAATATAAATATATAAAATATATAAAAAATATAAAAATGCAAAAAGTCACAGAAAAACCAGGGTTTTAAAAAAATTTGAAAAAACAACCACTTTTAAAAGAATAGAAAATTTCCCAAGCGTTTTTCGTGACTACTCACATAATTGTGGGTAGCCCACGAAAGTGTTGGGAATTTCTCTATTCTTTCAGAGTGGTTGTTTTCCCAATATATAAATATATAAATATATATAAAATAATAAAAATATATAAATATATATTTTATATAAAATATATATTTTAAATATAAAAAAATTTTATATGATATAATATATGTAAAGGGGATTTTTTTTGGGATTTAGGGGATAAAAAAAAAGGGGGATAAACAGGATGGATAGGGGGGCAATGTGGCAAAAATTGCAAATGAAAGAAGGGAACAAAAGGAAAGGTTTTACTAAAAAAAGGGGAAGATTTTTTTACGAAATGGGTTGAGGCTGGGGGTTAAAAATGGAATTGAGGGGGTTTGGGAAGGAAAAAACCATGGATTAACCTTTCTGATCTACCAGAATGGAAAGGAAGTTTAGAAATTTAAATTTGGGGGAAGCCAGACTGTGAAGTGAGATGGGAAGGGAATTTGGTGAAAATAAGGGGATTAACTGAAAAGGGTTTTTGAATTTAAAGGGAAAAAAGGAGCAGTAAAAGGGGGTTTTGAAGGGGAAATTTTACAAGAAATTTTCCAGTGTAAATTTCCCTAAGCAAAAAAAAAAGTGAAACTGGGACGGGGAAAAGAAAAAATTAAATATTTTTTGTATATGAGAAAAGAGCAAAAGAGTGAAAAATGGCAGGCATTGGGGGGGGAAAAAGGCTGCCAAAATTTAAATTTTTAATTTTTTTTCTTCTTAAATTCCCATGAAGAAAAAAAACAGTCAGGGGGGTTTGGAAAAAGGGGAATGGATTTAACAGCGCCCGGACATTAAAACCCCAAAACAGTTGCCTTCCAAACCCAGAAAAGTAAATGTCACTACGCCGCAAGGTATGGCAACCCCGGGCATACCCAAACAAAAACAGGGCACAAAAGCTCTTATTTGTAGCGCTCTTAAGGGGTGATACCCAAATTTAAAACCCCGGGCCCCAAAAACTATTGTGCAAGGCAAAACAGACAGATAAATGACGGCGATAATGACTGTCAAGTAGCTAGGAATGTTTAACCCTTTAACCCCCATATGAAATCCCAACATAGGACAATTTGAAAACAATACAGCCATTTTTAAATCTCAAACCAAACCAAACGGGGTGCTTTCACTGACAAAAAGTAAAAAGCCCAAACAAAAAAAGGCACCTTATGAAAAAATGTGTAAGGGGTGGGCATGAGGGATGTATGTAAAATTAAACAACAGTGCCAGAATTAAATTTTGGGGTGTAAAAAATGCATTTTGGGGAAACGGGTTTACCCTTTCAGTGATACATTGATTTACCTAATTTTTAAATTTACAAATGACCCTTTGGGGCCATATATTAAAGATTATGATTTTTTTTTAAGAAAACAGGCCTTCCATTATTCAAGTCAATACAAGAAAAATTTTTCTTCCAAAATTTTGGCAGAGTTTGGGATTCTACTAAAAAAATTTAAAGGGCGGCAATTATAACCGGGCGGGGATATAAGGGGGGGCCGGGGCCCCGGGGCCCCCCCCCTTTTTGGGTTTTTTCCTTTGGGGCCCTTTGGGCCCCAGTGTCGAAAGGCTGGGTATTCATTTTGGGGCAGGGGAAAAGGAGGGGCCAACCCTTTTACATGGCGGGGGCAGGGCCCCCCCGAATTTTTTGAATTTTAACGCCGATATATAAAATAAATAATATATATATATATATATAAATATAAAATTTATATATAATATTTTAAAATATATAATATATAAAATATATATTTATTTTTTCTAGACACAAAAACTAGGGCAATACCCCTTTTCAAAGGGGGGGGGGGGGCCACAGCTCAAGGGGGGGGGGGCGGACCCCCCGGGCCCCCGTAGTTTACGCCACTGTTTTGGGGTTTTCATTTAAATTTTTTTTCGCAAAAAATAACAAAAAAAGGCACAATACCGTGACGGAACGATATCCAAATAACCCGCCCATAAAAGAGAGAAGCTTAAAACGACATTTCGGCCCGACGGGGACCATGACAAGGGCCCCAAGTCGGACCGAAAACTCGTCGTAAGCTTCCTTCTTTTATTGCGGGGTTTTTTTTGTGTTTTGGGTTTCGCAACTTTGCAAGTTTAAGACCACAAAATACCTCTAGCTCCAAAAACAATACAAAATGTTTTTTAAGGGTTTTGATACTTAAAATTTAAACTTTTTGGGGAGCGTTTTAAAAGGGGCCCCTTGGGAAAAAAAAGATTTTTGGGGAAAAAAAAAAATCGTGGAAATGGGGAAAAACCCAAAAGATCTTTTTAAGTTAAGTGGATTTCAGCCACGATGACGTCCCTTTTCCCCAGAGTCTGTGCACACAGACAAAACCGCAAATTTCCCCCACGGCATTTTCTGAGGAGTACTATGGGCGTTTCCGGTGTAAAATTCCGTTTTTTTACCCATGTGATCGTTTGGTTGAAAGAGCAGATTTGATGATCCCACGTGCCCTTTGCTCTCCAAATTGAAGGGTTTGTCAGGGGCTCAAAAGCAAACGGGGTTGCTTTTCCCTTAAAGTCACAAAATTTCCCGAAAGTGACTTTGGAGTCACTTTCGTGGAAAATGTTCCGCTCCGGGCCTTCGAATCTTTTCCCAAGGGAAAGAAAAGGGAATACGCCGGGGCCCCCGTATTTTTTCCCCGAAAAACGCGAAGCCCTTTAAACCATCCTACTGACCCGCCTTTCTCAAATGCAAAAACCCGGGAACGATGTTCCCCACCCTGAAACGCCTGAAGAAAAAATATTTTGAGGAGAACCAAAATTTCAGGATCGCCTCAACGGCCCCCGCACTACTCGCCGTCCATAACGATGTACATTTTTCCTTTTAAATCGTGTAATCAACAATTTTGCGGAAAGGAACCGCCGTCGAGTTGCAGCCCACCCCGGGAAGAAGACCGTCTTTTCCCGCTTTTTCAGCTGAGAAAACTCTGAACACTGTTGCTCGAAAATTTTTCTTGGGTTATCCGGGGGGATAGTTCTTCCCAGAGCTGAGAGGAGACGGGCTTGCAGTCATTTCCCGAGCCCCATCCCACAAGGGGGAAAGGCGTGACTTGCTTGCTTGTTCACCCCTCTCATCCCCATCCCCCCTTTCCTTCCTCTCCTCCCCCCACCCAAAACCCTCACACGGGCCCACACACTTAACACATTTACATACTTTGCTACCCCCTTCTGACTGTCCAAACCCTTCTTTTTTTTCGGCAATTCGTTTTGGCGAGTTAACACAAGGCTTTTTTAAACCCAATCTGGAAACCCCCGTGGGGTTTTTTTTAAAATCCCCCCGATCTTTCCCCGGGGCTCTTTCCCCCTCACTACCGGGGGTGGCATCTTAGGAGCTGCCCTTTCATAAGTCAGCTAAATAGGATTTTGGGCTAACAAAAGGGAAAGAAACCTTTTTTTTTAAGGGGCAACCCTCTCCAATGGAAACCCAAAAATCAAAGCATTAAATTGGAAATCAAATTTTCCCTTTAAAGACATTCTCAATTGTATTTCCAAAAACCCCAACTGTTTGCCCCCATGGATGGTTTTAAAACCCACGCTGGAGCATATTTTCTCCTCTTTTTCGGAAGAAGATTTTTATTTCCAACTCCAAAGCATAAATTTCTTGGAAAAACCCTTGGGGAACTTCTGGTGTTATCCCCTTGAAAACCTGACAGCAAATCAACTCAGGGGACGGGTTTTTTGTGGCCAAATCAACAGTTTTTTTGAAACCCCACAATGTTAAGGGAAATTTGGGTTATAACTTTAAAATACCGAAAATTTCCCTGTCCTTGGGGCTTTTTAAAGCACAAAAATTTTCTCAAATCCCAACAACAAAAAGAAAATTTAAAATTAATACTCGGGGAAAACCGAGGGCCAAACTTGTTGTGTCAAAAGGGCTTCATATTTTTTCAATACCAGATGTAAAATCGACCAAATTTCAAATGGAACCTTTGTCATTGTAAACACAAATTTTTCAAGTGTTATCCTTTGTCATAACAAAAAACAAATGCGGGTAACATGGGAAAATTTTGGGTAGCTTTCCCTCGGGCCAACATTCGATCGTATTTACCAAAAAAAATTCCCTAAATGGGTCCTCTGAAAAAAAAAAACACAGCTGTTTCTGCTATTTTTTCCTAAAAGGGAAAAAAGGAAATGCAGAAAATTTTTGACGCCAAAAAACCAAACCCCACTTCTAAAAAGACCACCCCCCCAGGCACCGCCAACCATGTCCCAAGTTTTCCCTTTCCCCAAACTCGGGCCGGGATCAAATGGGACCCCAGTCTCTCCCAAATTTGTTCCAATTTTGGGAAATTTCTGCCCCTTTGAGCCCCCAATCAAAACCCCACTTACAACGACAAACAACAAGGTTCGGGTCGAAACTCTTTGGTCCTCGGTATCCCAGAGGGGGGAATTAACGAGAGCACAACTAATGTACTTTTTGGGCCCAAAGACATACAGGGGGTGACATCAACCCCGGGCTCTCGGTTTTAAAAAGATCTGTTAATGGATAATTGGGGTCACTTTCCCTCACTTAAACCCTTAAAAAGTGAAGGGTTTTTATGACCCAGCCTTCTCATAACAAAATAAGTACCATACTCAACATCAAAAAAAAAGC